ACACCTGGCGCTTGGGCCGCAGGCTACGAGGTGAGCTGGGGCCTGAGAGCGGAAATGTACTTGGGCTAGAGTTGAAGCAGAGGTGTGGGTGGCACTGATCTATAGGTGACTGCTGCTGATCTGATGGTGTGGTCTAAGTGCGTGCATTGGGTCTCGGGAAAGGCCTGGCGTGCGTCTGAGAACAGGGCTGCATGTGATTGTATCCACTTCCTGTGACTCCAGCTGGCGTGCTTGGACTTTGCATGCACTTAAATGTGGTTAATCGGGCGACGGATGAGCAGTCACTTGAGACAGGGCTCTAAGCTTTGCACAGGTTGTGCTTGCTATGGTTCCACTTGCATGGACTCGCTTTTTGGCGACAGTGCATTCCCCAAAGCCCTGCTTGGGGCAGCTCTGCTGGAAAGCCTGCCTTGCAAATTCTGAGTTATGTGAGCTGGGCCGCTCATCCCCAGCTTCATCTCCCTTCAGGTTGCCTGGGGTCCCAGTTTGGCCTCTCAGCTTCCTGGCTCTGGGTTCAAGTCACCTCTCTGCACCATGCCTCGGTGTGGTGTCCCAGTCTGTCAACTAGAGCTAATATTGCCCCACATCTCAGGCTGGTTGCCTGATGTCTGGAATGCTTACTCTCCCCAGCTACTACTAAAGTTGTTACTTTATGAAGTCTGCTCTATGGGGTTTGTGCAAAGTGGGAACTGTGTCTATGAGCACAATACTCTGTGTGTCCTCCCCGAGGCAGCCTGGGACAGATTATGTTCTTTGACCTCTCTGTCACTCCAGACTCAAGACTCGTGCTTGTACCACCTCCCTGCCTGCTTTGTAATGGTGGCCGTCAAGCCTACGGTCTTGAACATGCTAGGCAACGAGTCTACCCCAGAGCCCCCAACCTGCTGGCTTCTCAACTCTCGGTACTGACAGGGAATGTGTGTGTTCTGGGGTTTCTGTGCAGACATGTCCCACGGTGAAGCCAGGCATGCTCAACGTGCACCTGTTGCCTCATACACATGATGATGTGGGCTGGCTGAAGACAGTGGACCAGTACTATTATGGCAGTGAGTAGAGAGTGGGGGGTCCTTCTAAGTTTTGCAGGGACCTGGACATTGGCATGAGAATAATGAGTCATCTGGACTCTTGTATCAAGGTATGTCTCCTAGTGGTCCCTCACTGCCTGACCTTCATGTCCACAGGCCTAAATGATATTCAGCATGCGTCTGTTCAGTATATCCTAGACTCGGTAATCCCCTCTCTACTCGAGGATCCCACCCGACGCTTCATCTACGTGGAGATGGCTTTCTTTTCCCGTTGGTGGAAGCAGCAGACAAATGCAAAACGGGATATCGTACGGAATCTGGTGCGCCAGGGTGAGCATACCCCAAGAAGTGAAAGGAGGATGCTCAGTCCAGCTTGATCCCTGAGATTATTCATTTATTTATATATTACTATTATTTATTGGGACAGTGTCTTATTACATAGCCCTTCCTGGCCTGCAACTTGATGTGACCATGAGGCTGGCCTTGAACTTGTAGAAATTCTCCTGCCTCCCTAATGCTGGAATGAAAGGCCTGGGCAACCAGGCATCTCTGGGATTTTTGTCATATCACAGTGTGTTCACACTGTACCTATAGATCTACCTGCTTAGAATCTCTCTTCATGTGGAGACCTGTGTCTCACAAGGCCCCATCTACAGTGGCTTCCCAGGAAGCCAGTCATGCAGATCTAAGCATACTGACTTGGAACTTCCCCTCCTCTCCAGCTTCAGTAACAGTGTGGTCTGTTTTCCTAGCCTTGCCCATGATGGCCCTGTTCCTAACAGATACTCTTTCCCCTTGCATTCCTTGCACAGGGCGTCTGGAGTTTGTCAACGGTGGCTGGGTGATGAATGATGAGGGAGCCACCCACTATGGTGCTATTGTGGACCAGATGACACTTGGGCTACGCTTCCTGCAAGACACGTTCGGTAGCAATGGCCGTCCAC